AGTTAGCAGCCCTGATGTAACCCACTGAACCACCAGAGCTCCTTAAAATTGGGATAGTCCAGGCAAATAGATTCTGGTCTATATACTTCATATACTTTCTTATTAAATCTTATCAATAACCTATGGTGGATTATTGCTCTATTTAACAGTGGAAAAACTGAGCTTTTAATGAAAATAATTTAAAGTAATAGCTATTATTAGATGTTAGCCAGATGAATGAAATATTGGGACTTAACAATACTCTCCAAAAGGATGGTGAAAGCGAATTCTTTGATAAAAGGTTATCTTGACCCAACATTGGGAGAGTAATCTATTAGAATGAATTTGTAAATGAAATCTCTGTCTTGATAGGTTCACCCTGACAAAAATCGTCATCCCCAAGCTGAAGAGGCCTTCAAGGTTCTGCGGGCAGCCTGGGACATTGTCAGCAACCCTGAAAGGCGGAAGGAATATGAGATGTAAGTTGAAGATGGAAAATTGTCAGAAGTCTTAAATCAACTATCTTCAACAGCAGAGGCCCCGGATTGGTGGATAAAGGTCAAGACTGAGGAAACTAAGATTGTTGGTCTCTCTAGATAGCCAGGGGCCTCAAGAAGCTAACAGATCTATCTCCTTTGTTTGTCCCTCAGTACTTTGACTTACAAACCTTTCTCCTCTTAGGAAACGAATGGCAGAAAATGAACTGAGCCGATCAGTGAATGAGTTTCTGTCCAAGCTCCAGGATGACCTCAAGGAGGCAATGAATACTATGATGTGCAGCCGATGCCAGGGAAAGCATAGGTATGAAGGAGGAGGAAGACAGAGATTCAACAGATCTCAGAGACTGTGTAGCCAAAGACCTTTGTGAATAGTATTGGCAGTTGTGGGATATAGGCTGTGAGTTAAGTCCCTGGTTTCTTTGTTATGCTGTAAATGATTGGGGATTTGTATTAATAATAAGAAAGAAAATTCTAATATTTGAGGGTGGGTGTATTTGTATGTCCAACAATGGAATAGAGATAATTTTAGAAGTTTCAACCTTATTTGTCAACAGTGATGAGACCATAGTACAGTAGGTAGGTTTGATAAATTTTCAAAGACTTTTCCTTTTTTGGGTTATAGGAGGTTTGAAATGGACCGGGAGCCAAAGAATGCCAGATACTGTGCTGAGTGTAATAGGTTGCATCCTGCTGAAGAAGGTGATTTTTGGGCAGAGTCAAGCATGTTAGGCCTCAAGATCACCTACTTTGCACTGATGGATGGAAAGGTGTATGACATCACAGGTATAGTTCTGCCCTCTTTAAGCATAAATTCTCCTTTCCTGATCTCATACATGCACTAAAACATTTTGGTTGATTATTTCTTACATTTGCAGAGTGGGCTGGATGCCAGCGTGTGGGCATTTCCCCAGATACCCACAGAGTCCCTTATCACATCTCATTTGGTTCTCGGGCCCCAGGCACGAGTGGGAGGCAGAGGTAGGCTGTATTTCTTCTCAATAATCTATGATTCTAGTTTGGTTTTTATTTATTTTTTTTAATTGTGATTTTAACAAACGTTTACAAAAAAGTTGGATTTTTCATTTATTCATTCATTCTTTATTGCTGATTTGCCTCTACCCACCCCCAGTTAGCCTTTCTTTTTTTAAAAAAAAATAATCATTCATTGTTGCATAATTTCCTCCCTCCCCCACTCTACTTTGCTATGCACCTCTTATTCTGGACTGCTGTCATGCAAATAATGTGTAATCATATATTCCTTTTAAACAGTTCTTTCCTTCATCTGTTCCAAAGCAGTGTCCATTATTTATCTCTTTTGTTCCTCCTAACCTCCATGCCATTATTGTTTTATAACAGTGGTTAAATGACCTTTCCTCAATAGCAGAGGCCCCGAATTGGTGGATAAAGGTCAAGACTGAGGAAACTAAGATTGTTGGTCTCTCTAGCTAGCCAGGGGCCTCAAGAAGCTAGCTAACAGATCTATCTCCTTTGTTTGTCCCTCAGTACTTTGACTTACAAACCTTTCTCTTAGGAAACGAATGGCAGAAAATGAACTGAGCCAATCAGTGAATGAGTTTCTGTCCAAGCTGCATGATGACCTCAAGGAGGCAATGAATACTATGATGTGCAGCCGATGCCAGGGAAAGCAGTTTTCCTTTTGTGACTGAAATATTTCATTCAGCTTAGTGTCCTCCAGAGTTACCCACATTTGAAGTATTGAGTTCCTTGTTTTTCAGTGCTGCAAAGTATTTGTGTGAATATACCATGGTTTTTCTATACTTTCATTTGTTGATGGGCACTTGGTTTGCTTCCATCTCTTTGCTATTACAAATAACTCAGCAATAAACATGGGTGTGCATCTATCTGGTGGCAGCTCTGGTCTCTTTAGGGTATATTCCTAGCAGTGAAATTGCTGGGTCAAATGGTATTTCTATTTCCAAGTTTTTGAGAAAAACACCAGACCGCCTTCCATAGTGGTCGCACCATTTTACACTCCCACCAGCAACGAATAACGTTTTCAATTTCTGCATAACCTCACCAGCATTTGTTTGCTGCTCTGTTGAACTTTGCTGTTACTGGAGTGAGATGATATCTCATAGTTGTTTTGATTTGCATCTCTCTTAGAGCTAGGGATTTTGAACATTACTTCATGTGTTTGTTTGTCATCTGAATGTCTTCTTTGGTGAAGTGTCTGTTCATATCCTGTGCCCATTTTGTGATTGGGTTGTTTCCCTTTTTCTTGTGGAGGTGCTGGAGTACGTTATAAATTGTAGATTTAAGTCCCTTATCAGATGTCATTACCAAATATTTTTCCATCTGTGGCTTCCCTTTTTACCCTGTTGGAGAAGTTTTTGGATGTGCATAGGGATTTGATTCTTAGAAGGTCCCATTCATCTTTTTTATTCTCTCTTGGTTTTAGTTTTTTTTCAAGGTGCTTGGAAGACTGTTCATATTGTGGGTTAGGGCTTCTAGATTTCTTCCAAGCTTTCCTCTGATGAAATTTATAGTCCTTGATTTTACTCCTAAGTCTTTGATCCACTTTGAGGTGGTTTTTGTGTATGGTTTGAGGTGTAGGTCTTGCTTGAGTTTTCTACTGAAAATTTTCATGATTCTAGTTTTGAATAAGGTTTAAAATGACATACAATTTAAGACACATAGGTGCCTCATCTAGGAATCTGGGTGTGGTGCAAGGGATTTGTGATCAACTGCTAACAAGGTTAGCAATTAACACCCACCCAGAAGCTCTGTGAAGGAAAGGTCTGGTGAATCTGCTCCTGTGAAGATGATAATCAAGAAAACTCTACGGAGAAGTTCTCTGTAATTTATGGGTTGCCTTGAGTTGGCAGCCAACAAGAAGTGCCTCATCTTCTAGCATGTTTAGAAACTATCCTGGTGTTTTAATGTAGATAACCATATGACTCTAACATTTCCTGCTTCTTTATTTCTTCTTAGAACCACCTCAGATACCCCTCCTGCTGATCTTCAGGATTTCTTGAGCCGGATCTTTCAAGTACCCCCAGGCCAGATGCCCAATGGGAACTTCTTTGCAACTCCTCAGTCTGGGCCCGGGACCACTACAGCCTCCAAGCCCAACAGCACAGTACCCAAGGGAGAAACGAAACCGAAGCGGCGCAAGAAAGTGAGGAGGCCCTTCCAGCGTTGACAACCTTTCTTTTTCCTCAAATCAATGTCAGGGAGTCAAAAGGGCTGTGTATAGCACAGGATGGAATTTGATGTGTTTATTTTTCAATATTTAAAAAAAGGGAACATTTTAAGTGCAAACTGTTCACTGAGCACGTTTAGGAAGTCCCTGAACCACTATCCTGTCGTTTCCCCCCACCCCCCACCAACCCAGGAACTAAATCTTGTCTTCTGACAATACCAAAGAAATAGGAAATGGGTAGAGCAAAGAACTTAGGCCTTGGACTGGACAATATATCCCATAGTGGTGTGGGAACTGGTTATTTCCGTGGGGTTTACATGCCTTTATCTTGTCTTTTGCTTTTAGAGCAGATGACAATTATTCTTTCCTCTTTTAAACTATGAGTATTTTATTTCCTGTCTGATTTCAGAATAGAACCCCCTCCTTATCCCTGTACTAGTTAAAAGAACAAGAAGGCCATGTATCCCTAACTGTAGGACGTGTAGAGTTCAGAGTGAGAAGTTTGAATGGTTTCATCCAATCTTTACCCTTGTGGGTAGTCAGAAATGGCCAGAAGGAATTTTGTATGAAGCCGACTCATGCTCTCTGCTCATGGTTGAGGGAGAAGCATTGGGGGCTCTTCAGCAGCCCCCTTGTGATCCAAGGGTTTGTATTTTTTTAAGTTTGTTCATATTTTTATGTACATACCTATTTAAAGCCAGGGGATTATCTTTCTATAAATATATATCTGGCAAACTGTATCTTCCCTCTCTTATTTCCCCATGTAACTGGAACTTTTTGTCCTTACTGAGGTCCTTTCCATACTGTATTAAGTGAAGGGCACCCCTTACTGGACTATGGAAGAAAAACCGATTGCCATGGAGTCTAACCAATTCCTAGCTTTAGCTCCTTTGGGTTCCGAAAGCTGTAAATTGCACAGGATGAGCTTGCTCATCTTTCTCTTACTGTGCGGTTGGTGGATTCAAATCACCAGAAAGGCACGGCCTCTGGGCTAGCGGTGCACCTTGTTATGGACTAGGCCACCAGAGCTCATTAACTATTAAGGAAGAGAGAATTTAAAAGTTTAGAGAAGTTTTATATAGTGAGTTATACATTCTCTTTCTATCCTTGAGGACATGGTCCTGTTTCCCCTACTTAACAAATAGTAACCATATTTGAAAAAAGTGTCTTTATTATTTTAAGTAAGATATACAGAAAAATATAGCTGGAACGTGATGAGGTTTGGCCCTCCCTTGCATGGCTAGTCCTAGGGAGCTTCATTTGCCAATCTCTTCTTGGAAATAAGGGAAAGGGTGTGGTGTGCAATTCTTAAATTTTAAAGATAGTATGAAAAAAGAAAAGATTGTATGGAGAAGGGAAGTCCTTTGTTCAAATCTCTTTCCTATGCCTGTGGACCTGTCCCCAGCCAATCTCTTAATATTTATTGATGCCAAAAAGACGAACCCCATGGAACTGGGGCAGCTTAGGAAGTAGTACGGTGAGCAGTGACACTGTGTTGATGAGGAAGTGAGCAGCATCATATTTGGTGTAGAAGCTGGCCAGAAGGTAGCTAGGGAGAAGAAATAGGATGAATGAGAGGATGGCTTTCCATACACATATTCATGATTTTCCAGTGATTTTGATACTGTTTTAAATGATCTATTCTACTGCATGTAATTCTAGAACATCTGAAAGCATTCCAGCTATATCAACAATATTTATTTTGGGGTTGGGAGATCATCAGATAAAATCTTTAACTGCAGTCAGTTTGCATGTTTCTTAATAGTTGTTGTTCTGTGCCGTGGAGGCAGAACTGACTATTCAGCAGGTTTTCAAGCCCCAAGGGAACTGCTCGTAGATTCAATCTGTGTGCATTTGGGTTGGTAGCACAATTCCTTACTACTAGACCACACATAGAAAATGACAAATGAAGGGTGCTTTGTCCCATGTTGATGTGTATCATCAAGTCAGAACCAACCCATAACTGACCTTCCAGTGGGTTTTCAGAGGCAGTTAATCTCATGGGAGATTATCCATCCTTCTCCCACACCCACATCCAGCTTCCTAGATTTTATATCATTTTTTTTTCTCTCTATTCACTTATCTTTGCAAAAACATTTAGTTTACTTGATCTCTCTCCTCAGTCTTGTCTTCATTCCCCTACCACAAAGGGAAATAATCAGGAATAGTTGATTATTGTTTTCTACTTTTTAACAGCTTTTCCTAGGTCTAGAACTAGTCTATACCATGTTTTCAGAAGTAATGTGCTTTTCCAAACGTTCCTGTGAGCCTTCTAACTTGGCTCTTAGAGCTCTTTCCAACCCATCATTTCCCATATCCCCCCCAAACTTACAGTACAATGGGAGAAATGCTAAGGAACTTTCGAGAAGAAGTGAACTGAAGCCCATAGTCCATCTGTTCCCAATGTGTCAGCAGCCGAGCTTTTCCTTGGTCAGGGGTCTCAAAGGGTGTTCCTTTCACTGTATGTAGGAAAACATACATTGCCTGGGAGGAGGGAAGAGGCAGAAGGTGATCTTTCAGCCTAGGAATTTTAAGGTAGGAATTAGGGGGATCCCAACAGGAAGACATAAAGCCCCAAAGAATTGGTTATTTTGGCTGTTGTGGAAAAGCCTTGGAATGAGTATAAAGGTGTGGTTTAGTGCTCACCAAGTTGTGGATGACGTTGGTCAGGGTCCAGACTACGGGAATGCTGAAGAAGGGGATGCTGAGTAGAACCACGTGCAGCAGTCCTACCAAGATGATGTAGGCCAGCCATATTCCCCGGCTATTCATCACTCGGGTATTGGGGTTTACTTCACTGTGTGCCACCCCAACATTCATCCTACCATGTGGAGCATCAGGCAGGAGGTCAATTAAGTTTTAACTTGAGTTTGGCCCTCTGCACTCTACCCCCTTAGCCAAAATGCCTTGAACTCTAAACTGGAGTGAAAAAACGACCCCATTAAGCAAAATGGAAAACTTGGGGAAATTACTACAATATAGAAAGAATTTGCCGCTCTCCATTTCTAGAGATGGGTAGTTTTAACACTTAAACTGTAACATGGAATACACCTAGGTTTGAGACACTCCACGGAGCAACAGAAAGCTAGGAATCTCTTGCTTTACAGACGTTTACAGGATCATGCAACTCTAGAGGAGTCACAGGAATCAAGAAGCCACCAGGAAAGCTAAGGGGTTAAAACAATTCATTATCCCTTTTTCCTTTGGGCCTATTAGTCCTGTCTCTCGTCCCCATGTCTTCTCTCAAGCCTCGGTGGTACAAGAATTTGCCCTGGCCATCTGGACTGGGCTAGAAAGAGACCTAAGCTAAAAGCCTCCAGAGATGGAGCCCTGGTCCTCACTTCTGGGTGGTTCTGGTCATTTGAAAGTGGCTCTTTAAATTCACGTCAGGCTTTAAAACCGATGTAAGGTCCCGAAGCAGTGCTTTGCTTCTTTACCATAGCTATAAAATTCTCCAAACTACAGGACCCGCCTCATGCTTTGCTTCGCTACCTTCTCGTATTTTGGTCCCCAGCGGGCTCTCGCTAGCACTCCTCTCTCAGGTTTTAATTCTCCCACTCTTCGCTCCCACCCTTTTTCCTTCAGCAGCTCCTCTGCAGTTTCCCAGTAGCCCCTACCTGACAGTTTCGTCCCTCCGGGACCACAGGGCTGGTTTCTACACCTGTAGTCTCCAGGAAGCAGCCGCCCCCGCCCTCGCCTATTTGCGCTTTCCCTATTGGTGAAACAGAATCAGCGCTGCCAACATTCATTGGTTGGCAGTCTGTAATAAGAACACACAATTGGTCACCATTTCTATCTTCCAGCCGAGTCAAACTCCACCCTTTTCTCTGTCCCACCTTTGGAAAGGCGGGGGGAAGCTCAGGGAATGAGAGGGATGCCACCTACTGACGAATAGGAAGAGCGGATGGTGTGATGTGGAAGTAAAAGTAGCTGCTATTGGCCGTCCGTAGTTTTCTGCCCCTAGGCGGGAGCTCCTGTGAACAGAGGTAGTGGATGGGAGCCTAGAGGAGTAGAGGGGTAACAAGATGGCGGCGGAGACAGTCGAGCTTCATAAGCTAAAGGTAACGTGAAGGGGAGAAAGACTCAGTTAGACTTTCCCGGGGTTTGAATTCTGCATCATGGTTTGCGCCTTCTATGCGAACTCCTTGCAGGTTTTCTGTTCTGTTTTGCCGCTCTTGCCTTAATTAGACGCATGTCTTTTGTGCCTTCTGTCTTCCACACTACGCCTTCCTTTTCTGTTTTTCCTTATGGCTTTGCTGTTATCTCTGCTTTTTATTTGGACTTTCTGGTTTTCTTCATAGCTGTATCATCGATCATCCTTTTCCACTGGGTTGTAGAAGTGCCTTCGACCTGTTATACTCTTGGTTTCTTGTCAGAGTTGCGGTATGTCAGTAGTTTCCTCCTCATCTCCCCAGCCGGACACGGGGCCCTTTTTTCTTTCTGGGTTGCTACTTCCAGTTTCTTTACCAAAGTTGAATTTTCTTATTAGCCAGCGATGGCACCTTTGTGCATTTCTATCTGTGTAGGACTCCAAACTCAATCCATTAAATGCATCCATCCCTTTTTAAAGGTAGTGTACGACTTCTTCCCCCCAGGAAGGGCCAACTTTGAATCAGCTGAGAGGCCTGAAGCAAAGGCACAGACGTTTCAGATTTAGAAGTTTTCCAAATTCCCATAGTAGTTCCTTTTCCTCCGGATCACACTTCCCTTCCTTTCTCGCCACCATGAGATAGCTGCAATACTGTGGCAGACTACTTAGAAGATTAAGGGCACGTATAACTATAGAAGCTATTAGCGTTATATGTCTTGGTCGGTTTCTTACGTTTAGATTATTATTTTCCTGGAAGAAAGGAGTTTTTTTTTTTTTGTTTTTTTAAAGAGTGAATTCAGATACTATTTTAGTAACTTGTTCGTTTGTGATTTACTGTTACCCAATAGATGTTTTGGTCACATCATCCTGGGAATCTTGGACAGACAGATTAATTTAGCTACAATTGAAAATTGATCCTTTAAAACTTGACCAGCAGTTTAATAACTTGATAAAAGTAAGTTTAAGTACTGAGGATACTGGGCGGTCATTTCTTTAATCGCTTATTTCACACGCATTGCCTTTGAGACGGAACCGATTTATAACTGACCCTCTAGCAGGTTTTCAGAAGCTGTAAATTGCAGAGAGATTGTCCATCCATTATTCTTGGAACTGATGCTGAATTCAAACTGCCAGAGAAGTGCCACCTGTGGTGTAGCAGAGCAGCTCCTATTGACAAAGACATCAGAGTACCCTAATCACCTAGTCTATGGAAATGCATCTATTTTTTAAGCCCACGAGTCTAACTTGTATTAGTGGATTTTGTGTTATCCTACAGTTAACTATTAAGTTGGTGTTATTAACAGCTTATGTTTAGTCTTTTAATAGTTATGATGAGTGGAAAAATATAATCTCTACCTGTGTCAACTATGCTTATACTACTCTATTGTAATGTATATTGTAAAACACAACATGTCATTGTTACATGCTGTCAACTCTGAACCAACTCAGAGCCTACCATCCACTGGGTTTTCAGAGGCTTTCAGTGGCACAGGAGGAGATTGCTCATCTATCTTCGGGAGACAACCTGGTGGATTTGACTGTTATCTTTGGGTTGGCAGCACAACTCCGTAATAGGCCACCAGAGTTCCCTAAAACACACATAAAAAAGAAATTTTGGGGTAGAAGTAAGAAATGGAAATATTAGAAAATGTACTATTTTTTCATATCCCATTTTTAAACTTCTAGTGTAAATCACCAGCCTCTCTACTGACTTGTCTGTATGGATTTTGTGTTAGTTTATAGCGTTCTTTTTTCAAATCTGTATTTTTTAAAAATTTTTATTAAACTTTATTAATTTAAATGAACATTTACAGAGATTTTGGGTTTCTTTTCATTCATTGTTGCACTATTTTCTCTACCCCTCCAGTTCGTTCCTCTTTTTCCCCCCACTTGAAAGTCTGTTTTAATTGTCCCATTGCCACAGTGCTTGTCAAAGCCAGTTCTGATTAATTTCCTTTGTCTGTGTCCTTTGCCATTCCCTATCACTCCTCCCTGAGAGAGACTTCAGCCTGATTCATAAGGAAAGGGGGACGGTGTATTCTCATAGCTACTTCCTGCTGAAAAGGGACGCTGTAGGTTTCAGGGTGAAGATCTTCTCTCACTACTCTAAAGTGCCCCTTTGGTAATAGGAAACACATAGACTGTTGTGGAGATTGATTTTGGAATTTAGATGCACTGTTATCAATTGTGCTTAGCCTTACATGTTCATATCCTTGAAGATGTATCATGGAAGTGTTGCAGCCTAGAAGACACAAATTTAACAAGTTAAAAGTACCTGAGTCAAAAATTAAAAGCAATAATATTCCAAGTAGAGGTTCTAACAGTGGCACAAATCAAGTTACAGAGGGAAGGTAGTTCTTAAAAGGCTTATTGACTAGCACTTTGTCTATTATAGTATAAAGGTTAGGAACCACAAGATGTAGAGGCTCAACTATGTCAATTATTATTCTTAAGTCCTGGACCAAATTCCATCTACCCCTGGGTGGTTTTACAGCTCGGAAGTCCGTATGCAAGGCAGAGGTGAAGTAAGGAACTGCTTATGAGGTTTTCCATCAATTCCAACAACTAAGAAATAGTGAGAAGAGTTGGGACCTCAGAAGGCTTTTGGGACCAAATAGTAGGTAGGCTCTTATGTCCAGGAGAAACGAATATACTTACCAGTAATGTTAATGCTCACCCACAGCTTTTCTGGGAGGATCTAAATCGTTGAAGCGTCAAATTTATATTTTTAAATATATATTACATTTGTGTTTGATCATTCACTCTTACAAAACATCGTTAAGCCTGATTTAGCTTTTAGAGTCTAAGAACATGAAGCATTTCAGACAACCTAAAAAGGGCTCTGTCTTTTAATCACATTTACTTGTCTTTGCTTTTTCTCTGGAGCACTTCTTAACCTTTTGGAGGTCACAGATATCTTTGAATCTCTGATGAAAGGTATGGACCCTCTCTCCAGAAAAAAAACATGTACACATACTTTGCATCCAAACTGAGGGGCCTTATAAAACTACGTTGTAGCCCTGAGGAGTCCATAGACCTTTGGTTAAGAACCAGGTCTTTAATCCTGACTTCAAGGACAGGAAATCTTTGGTTCTGCTGATCCTGATGAAGCTTTCTTGACTTATGATTTTTTAAGGATTTTATCCTTTTTTAAAGAAATTGTTCCATTTTAAAAATAAAGGAAATTTAGGGCTTTAGCATGAGTCTTCATAGTTAAAGAAAAACATGTGAAAGAAAAGTACTGTCTATCTGACTTGACATTAAAGATTTTATAGAGTTGCAGTCATAATGTAATTGGAAAGGGAGATGAAACTGGATGTGATTGAAAAGTTCTTTTGGACTGTAACAGTACCATACTTTTAGGCAGACATAAGAAAACAGGACTATTGCAGAGGAGAGGAGAGAAGCGTAATAGCTTCAGTGTTGAAAACAGTGAAATATGAAACAGCTATGAGATATCATCTCACCCCAGTCAAAATAGCAAAATTTAACAGAACAGCAAGCAATAAATGCTGGCGAGGTTGTGGAGAAACTGGAACCCTTATTCACTGTTTGTGGGAGTGTAAAATGGTGCAACCCCTGTGGAAAGCGGTATGGCACTTTCTCAAAAAGTTGCAAATAGAGATACCATTTGACCCCGCAA